ATTCAAATCTGTGGTTTACAATGTCCATATGAATACAAGTCTGTGGTTTACAATGTCCATATGAATTCAAGTGTAGCGTCTACATACTCCATATGACTACACGTGGGGACAAGTGAGTGGTTTACAATTTTCTATATGAATACAAGTGTGTGGTTTACTGTGCCCATATGAATACAAGTGTGGCGTTTACAATCCCGTATGAGTAAATGACGTCACAAGTGACACTTGTGATTTTACATGAATACGGCATGTTCAATTGGTCACGTGACTTAAAAGTGCTAAACTCAAGTAAGAGTCATACATCGATAAAAACTGTTCGTTCTTATCATTAGGTGAATTGACCGGAAAACGATTAATACATCCAAAGGCTTAAACAATTTTTATTTACCGAGATTTTGCTCTCAAATTCTCGTAAATCTCCCTATAAAACCCTTCTAAACTCTAAGTGGAGGCATTACAAAAAAAGATTTCTAAGTGTCGACACGTTAGCACTAACATCATCTGCTAGTGACATGGTTTACTGTAACGAGGCTTCATTGGCTGTATTGGCTAATTAGCATAATGTACATGACTACCGTATTAACGGGAATTTAATATGTATCCATTTCACTTGCAATGATTGACCTTTGGTGTTTTGCGTCAACATATGTATCTAACATTGATTCCCCCAAATACAGATTATGCTAATCATGACAGCGTGCTACAAACAATTGCGCTCTCTATTCAAATCCCCGGAGTACTCCCCGATCTCAACCACCCAAAATACTCACGAGCTATAAAATACTCCAATTTGACTTCAAATTTAACAGTACTTTCACGCCGTTTCATGATTACCATGTGACGCATTTCGTCCAATCGTAATATGTCATGCACTAACGCGTTTCCACAGGCGATGCAAAGTAATATGTGTTTAATTGTAAATTGCAATGCGCTCAAACGAAAATACGCGCGAGTATTTAATTCCCTCGTCTCACACAGAGATGTGAAATGGCTTCTTCATGACTGGCTGGATATGGAACAGAAGTTCAACACTGCGGTCGTGGAAGTGTTACAAAGCCAAGTTCGATGTTGCCAGTAACAGTAGGACGTCTCATCACAATGAATAAAGACGCCTCGTCGATGAGTGATGTACGAGAAATAACGAATACCTTGTCATACAAGGTCATTTGTTCATTTCGAGATATCTCTTCAATTGGCACAAAGCTACGGAGGTTGTAAAAGAAAATAAAAAAATCTACGATAGCAATAGGGAAATGAGATCTCGACTGTTCATGATTTGCCTTGCTTCCTAAATTACTCACAATATAACACAGTTCGTGTTTATTGTGTATGCATTCAAATATGCGATTGTTATATTGGGCGGAAATGAGCATGTTTGACCTATAGTTTAATAAGATAAATTGCGATCTAACGTCTCAACTCAAATGCAGTTAAACGATTCCTGTCACGTTTTGTTTGGCCTACGTATGTAGGAAACATGTCCGTTAATAACTTACACAAAATACAATATGCTGTGTCTGTATTCGCACACTCTCACTCCCCAGGTATCTACAGGTACATACACTCATCATGAGTGGGGGACATTTACGTGTTCTTTCTAGTCCATACATTGAGTAGTCTCTGACGATAACGGACCAAATTACAGGTATTTAAACACATGTCTTGAGGTTTACATACACGATCTGGTTAATTCTATTTGATTCCTTTAAATTACCTACAGTCGCGTCACCATAGTTTCACGCTATATAATGATTTAATGGTTTGGTTCTCGGTGTACACAGATCTGTACAACGCGTGTGTCGTTCTTCATCGAAGTGTTGCAAAGACATACATTCACGACAACGTAAGCAGCACACTGTATCATCTTTACTACGTGCTTACCACATCGTTCAGTTTGTTTAGGGATTCATTGTTGATTTAGGGACTCGTGTTCCGGACTATAGAAAATGTTTCAACAAACTAGTGAGTACGCCATTGTGAATGAGCTAATACAGATCATTCTATCGTCACATACGTGGTCGGTTGTCACAATAACGACACTTAATCTGTTCGGGCACCACAAGTTCGGCGGATACAGTCACACCAACAAAAGTATGTGCACATTCATTTGCAAACGGAAATTTGTGTGGCAACTGTAAGGTAGGGAAGAATAAATTTCACGTCTATCCTCCCCATATCCATTCTGCGTATAATCAGTGAGCGCATCATTTAATTAATAACATATTAACAGCTGTGCTGCTGATTCTAGTGACCCATTTGCTCGTTTTGTTTACCATGCGCTATGATTGTTGACAGTTGTGCAGTTCATATATTTTAAATCATAGTACAGAGGCTGCGCGAAATTTTGCATTTTGAGGAGCAAAGTTTGCTGACACAAAGGTTTTCAGCTTGATTTCTTTTGGGAGAGACGACACCCCAACTTTTTTTTCGGGTGGGTGACCACCCCCTCTCCCGCGCGGTGCCACCGTCACTATTGTATTTCTTACACGTAGATTTCACAAACGAAAAGTAGGTTTGCGTAGCTTACGTAGAACGCCAATAGAGGAATGAGACTAAAGAGTATCTTCCATTAGCCAACGTAATACTGTAATACATGCTATTGATGTAAGCGATAACTAACCTCCATGGATGGGAGGCTTGATAGTACAGTAGAAACTATATAAAACATGACAATACCATAACGAAATTATTATTGTACAACCCACGGTACAAATATGAGTATTTCAGTTAGTGTATTTGTTAACTCTGTACATTATATAGTACTATAGTTCCACACAATATACCAATTGCCTGGAATGTGTTTTTAATATTTGCGTCAAGTCCTAATATAAAACGAATTTACGCAACCCAGGCTATAAAATAAAAGCAATGCACTAGAGCCGTTCTTGACACATTTAAATTGTAATAAAATACATGTTGTATAAATGCTATAGTTCAAACAATAACTATCGTGCACAAACCATCGTACTTCTCCTTTTGTACTTTATTAGCCTTTTAGTAAAATGTCCATCAACCATGAGCATTAGGTATGGGTTTGTAATGTTCCAGTGCGATGCCTTATGTTCGTTGCCACCTGCTCATAACGATATAGATGTACTATCCAGTTACAATTCTGTTAGATTCACAGTTTGATCAATATCGTGTTTTTTCCCCGTGATCTTCTTTCATTAACATCTCATCGACGACTGTTTATTTTACTCACGTGTTTACATATTGTCGTCGTGCATGTCTCCATCGTGCTCACCTGTTTACCCGCATATCTACATACCTTGCTTGCAAATTATTCATCACTGGGCGAATTCAAATTAGATATTTTGCTTCAAATAGTACCATGTGTTCGCCAGCGTTACGACAGTTGACGTCATAAGCTGTGAGAAGAGTCCACCCGGGGAGGGAGGGGAGGGGGGCTACATTTGGCTTGATATGACATACTGCTATTGGTGGAGTTTGTGGTCTACCTACAACAAATATACATGTATGCTTTCTTAAGTGAACTATTCGTTTTATATACACATTCAGTTATCATATGCGGTTTATTATTTCTCTGATATGTAGAGGATTTCTCTATATATCGACCAACTCAGTCATGGCAAATGTTTTACTCTGATCACCCCAAGTCACATGATGTATCAAAAAATAGAACCAGCCAGCTCATACTAAATGTTACAAGCAATCATGCGACTATGAAATAAAATGTCTTAACTCCGGTACATCCTTATGGTATTGTTTCTCATGTAGTTCAACGTTCATAACTTATAGGTTATCTACATGTCTGAAATATTTACGTCGTCTTTATATCCCGTAGGCTGGCATATCATTTTCATACATTGTCATACATTGAGCCCATGAGTAAACGCATGTGTTGCAAATACACTAACAATACCGGTCCACCCTGAATAAAATACTCAAATATATGTGTGCATACTATCGAATAATTATCTCCGGTGTAAATGTTGCCTGTTATTGGAATATATATATTATGTTAGATGGATTACGACATGCGTTCAGGTAGAATAGTACAGACTTTATACATCGCATGCCAATACATTTGTAGTTACGTTTTGGTAAATCTGACGTTGGCGTTTATGACCTGGCCTATCGGGGATTGTGTTTTCACTGCGTAACCTTGAGAATTGTGCTTTATATAGGTTTGTGGGTATTACACGTAAGCTGTGGGTCAGGTTGTACTATTCTGTGATTATGTTAATTTGGACATTCCATGGTTACCGATTATATTATACCATTATCTGGTTTATTAAATGTCAACCGGACTTGTTTTGAAGAATTTCATGAAGTTAAAAAAATGATCGAGAATATTGGAACTCCAAGTATTTTGTTTTTATTTCTATTCTATGTTAATAACCAACATTGGTGTTCATTCTCAATCCTGACCCGATCAATAATCGTATATGAAATGAATCCGACAGTTACAAAATAAAGCGATATATTGATCATTTAACAGCATGTCTCATTATGTAAAATTAATAATGTCATTCATTCTTGAGAAAGAACTGACATGGCATGTGATTAATTCCGTTACAAGGGCGCAAAACAGAACATCGTTGTCACATTTATGTACATTACACCATATTATTTAAACGGTACTAACCGAATTTTGGGGTTTCATAATTGCAGTGAGTTTGCATTTGAGAAATAAGCGTAGACTATGGCATGGCATCGTACGTGACAGTTGCGCTAGTCACTTGATGGTGTGAAGTAGCACACCACCGTGTAACCCATGACACAACATCATACGTGAGATTTGCGCCTATCGTGTGTCTCCCACGGCGTTAGCTACAGCAACACATACTGTTGTTTTCGTTTCTGCTTTATTCAATCTGAAGTCATCAAATTGGTACATTGAAATGTTTTAATTAGTATTTTAATGGCACAGTGCAATACACCAAACTAGTGTCTTTTATTTGCATTTAATCGTCCAACATGTGTGACAGGTTTCATTGTGTGAAATTAAGTCTTTATTGATGCAGAGAGGAAGCGACATGCTGAGGTCAGTTGAGTTCAGCTAATTTTAGCGATTCACAATCAAGTTCACTGTAATCCACGTTGGAATACGTAATTAAAATATCCTTGGCCGACATTGGCAGGGTTCATTCTTCAATTCTGTGTATGACTCAGACACTGTGGTATGAGGCGAATAAAATATCATTCAGTTCAGTGTTGTTGTTTTCAAATAAAATCACACCCAATAGGAATGGTAGCTAGGTTGTTAAGACGCTTATTAGCTAGGTATTAATCATCAGTGCGTTTTATAGGCAGACCCGGCCTTAGGAATCATCCAATAAACAAATATGGTTAAACGCTTGCATATGCGAGGCAGAGTTAAGAGCCAGCCAGTAAATATACACCATAGCGACTCGTAGAAGCCGTACATTCTGAAACAATAAATAGCATATATTATATTATAAATGAGGTGTTGTTGTGAATATGCGTTAGACGACAGATTGTCCCTTGTTAAGCCAATTGGCACTTTGGAGATTAGCGAGACGTGGAAATAAATTGATACGGATTAAAATGTAATAACATTTATAACCATTGAAGTGACATCTTGTGACGAGAACTGAATCAATTTACACCGCCTCTATAATTGAGCCAAACATGAATAGAGTTTGGAGGCTTCGGCAAATACCCACAATGTAACTATGCATTTACGCTTCAATGAAATCCATTGATGGAGCGACAGATTGGAACAACAAATTGCAGGAGATGCGCCAATTACTGAAAGCGATAATAGTTTGCTTCCTCCGGCAACATTGTACTACATGAATAACAACACATGTAATTTTTTATTTGATTTTATTGACAGAATACTGGGATTTATTGTAGCTGGTGCGGAACTGACAAGTGAACAAACCACCCTGCTACCATTGAAGATGTTGGAGGGAAATGAATCCAACAAGGAGTCTGTACTTTTACGAAAACCGTTGCAATACGAGGAGTTACTTGATAGTTTGTTTAATAACAGCTATAATCTAACAAACTTTACCAGGGATGATTGGGAGGCACCCACCTTTATGACAATACTTGTGCCAACGGTGTTCTCCATAATATTCATGATAGGAAGTGTGGGCAATATATTCACTATATATATTGTTACAAGAAGAATTAAACTCAAAAGCACAACCAGTGTGTATATACTGAGTCTGGCGTGCGCCGATCTTCTCTTCGTTATTACCAGTCCTCTCTTCGCTGCAGAGTTCTTACTTGCACCGGAATATAAATTTGGCGAGATCGGCTGTCGTTTAATCGATGCAATGGATATAATGACAATGCTGGCGAGCGTATTCACTTTAACTGTTATGAGCATCGACAGATTCTTCGCTGTCGTGTTCCCTTTAAAGACCATGGCGTACAGACTACGTGCGGTGGCTTCCTACGTTAACATCGCCGTGTGGACCTTGAGTTTTGTCTTTTCGTTACCAATGATTATTATGGCAAAAGAAGGTCCCTCTCGCCTAGCCGACGGGTCTGTCATACGAAGCTGCCAGAGCCTGATGGACGACGAGTTCGACAAACTGTATAAAACTACCATTTTCATATTTGCGTTTCCCATCCCGTTTGTCATCATACTGGTGTGCTACATTACAATCGCTGTGACATTGCTTTCCAAAGGAGGTTTGACTGCCATTGCTGAGACTAATAAGTCCAGACAATCAAAGCAGCGCGTGGCTAAAATGGTACTCATTATAGTGATAGTATTTTTTGTGTGTTGGTTGCCGTTTTGGACCATGATGATGTTAGCGGTGTATGGAATGATCGAATGGAGTCAATCACTCTTCTATGTCAATTTCACGTTGGTCTGCATATCGTACAGTAACAGTTGTGCAAATCCACTGCTATATACTTTACTCAGCCATAACGTACGCCGTAAATTAAGAATGAGAGGTACTTCCACAATGGGGAGTGAGAGGATCAGTGAAGCTAACACCACGCATTTGCATCGAAAAAGTATTCGGGGCAAGTCGTATTAAAGTTTTACGTTTACAAATCTAGATACATAGTCGTACGCTTGACTTTTTACGGACCGATATATATTAGTAATCACTGTTATGCATCATCAACGGCAGTTTTCCTCTTCAGGAATGTTATATATATATATTCTCATTTTAATTATATACGCTTCAATGAATTAGGTAGCTTTCTAGCTAATTTTATCTACTGCAATTATATTTTCTATTCTTTCTGTTTCTTCTTCCTACTAAAAAAAAACAAAACAAAATTTTAAAAGTTTGATCGAAAATATTTTTTCAATGTACAGGATCTAGAAAGATGATGTCAAACAACTATGCATCACATGCCATTTAAAATCGGTAAGTTTGTGTACTTTTTCATTATAGAAAAACATCACTTTGTTTTTTACGTCAGGGTGATTGAGGTAATTGTATTATTAGGAAACGTTGTTGTTATGTTAATGCGGCGGAGATGTACCTTGTTTCGGAACGGGTTTCTTCATATAGTGGAGTGCTGTACCGAGCAAAAGAGTTGATTAATTTAATTAGAATAACTGTGCATAATATTTTACAGAAAATGTTCATATGCACATCATTGTGATCTAGATCTCTGTAATTATGTGGGCATGTTATGATATCACAACTGCACAACTAAATTACCAGTGTCTTTCACTCGACAGTTGTCAGTCACCAGATTGAACAAATTATTACAATATTTGAACATATTCAAGATGATACAATTGGAAATGCAGGGAATATTAAAAATAACGATATTATCAAGGTTATGCGTAGTCTTCTAGTTCATCAGTATTCAATATATAAGGCAGAATATTTCTGACTGTGAAATGTATGTCAAATGAAAGCATTTCAAAAAATCAAACCAAATCTTATAATATCTTTAACAATATCATTTTCATAAAATTGCACTGCATGGTGATGGCCTTGGTCACACATCGCTCGTGAAGTCCAAGACGGTGAAACTCACATTGAGTCATGAAACATAATTCCGATATTAGTTTTTGAGTACTAATAGGAAGATACTTCGTGATACGTCATTTATTTCCAATTACCTCCAATATAATCAAGCAGCACATTAGCATTTATGTATGTACTACAATGAAATGAAACACGGTTGAGTGTACTCGTTCTGGTTGTCGATATCCCAATATAACGTGCTGTCAAATTGACAATTTCTACTTAATACTCAAATATACATAGTTATTGTCAAATTACCAATAATATATACGTACATATTGAGTGATTGTCATTTATTCGATTGTTACTCAAAGATTTAACAAATTTGCATATTTCCACTTAAAATAAATGCTTACAGTTACGCATTTTAATCAAGTAGAATGATATTGTAATTCGTAACTACGGTTTACACTGTATATTTGTCGCTAGGAATTAAATAGAAATACTTGTTTGTGAGATGAAAAGACACCTATCACATATAGATACAGGTCAAAGCTAAATGTACTGTCCTGGTTATTTGACTTCTCTTATAAATACTTGTTATTGTGTATATAGGTGTACACAGTTTCAATTCAACGTCACCGTGACTTTTACACTTAACTTTTCTGAAACTATCCGCGTTCCATACCCGTAACAACGGGATTCACAGCTCGAAAAATAATAACTGGGAAAAGTAAAACGTCACTCCAAATAAAATACAAAACTCACTTGAAACACACGGGCAACTGAAGTAACATGAAAGATACCTAATGGGAATTATTGAACGTGACCGTTTTTAAATGTGCAACAGTGAATATCGTTGATTGAATCACGTTTTTTAGATTAGTTCTATCAGTAAAATTGAATAGATGTACGAATAAATAAATAAATAGTTAATAAATAAATAAATAAATAAATAAATAAATAAATAAATAAATAAATAAATAAATAAATAAATAAATAAATAAATAAATAAATAAATAAATAAATAAATAAATAAATACATTTCTTCTATTGATTACACATATCATATACTTTTGAAATTTTAACTTGAAAATGGCGCATGAATAGAGCATGCGCATTGCAAGAATGTATGTTGTGAAGGCGAAGCCGAGCACGTGCAAAGTAAAACCTTTTGATAAGCATTATATCATAGAAATAATATCTACGTTTTTTCTATTACCTTTCCATAGTTCTCACTTTGACGTGGCAGTTACTTAAAGAACTTGGTCACTTGAACACACATCTTGTACTAATATTTATCATAGAAGTATTGGGAATCATAATACCAGAAGTACTTCCTTTAATTCATTTTTATGACAAATTATGTATCTTTTATCAGTATTTTCTTCTGTATTGTATGTTACGTAGAATCTCGATTGATATGAATATTGACTTTTTGTTTTATGCTATGACTATTGCTATCACAAGGAGTATTAAACATTCAATTGCATTCAGTAGTTTGCGTGTCTTTTGTTTAAAAATCTGTACTTATTCCATCTTATTCCATGAATTCGTCAGGAATCCAGTATGCGTATCAATGTATCAGAACTTTTCCTGTATTCCTGACGTAAAGCATGTTCAACAAATTTTGCGTATTCCCTGACGATGTATAACGACGTAATCGAAACTATATGGTGACGTGCTCACAAGGTACTATATCTAGCAGCACATCTTCTATTTAGCACTATAATGACATAGCTAGTACTATTAAGACAATGTACATCCTTCTCTCCCTACAGTACATAGCTGACATCAGTGTTATATATTACACCATAAATCACAATTGCACTATCTATATAACACTGAAACCCTAGCAGAACATGGCTGATATCATCTTTCAGAACTAAGTAACATCATCTGTCTTTCACTGCTAGGACATAGCTAACATCATCTGTCTTTCACTGCCAGCACATAGCTACCATCATCTGTCTTTCACTGCCAGGACATAGCTACCATCATCTGTCTTTCACTGTCAGGACATAGCTAACATCATCTGTCTTTCACTGCTAGGACATAGCATCCATCATCTGTTTGTCACTGTCAGGACATAGCTATCATCATCTGTCTTTCACTGTCAGGACATAGCTAACATCATCTGTCTTTCACTGCCAGGACATAGCTATCATCTGTCTTTCACAGCCAGGACATAGCTAACATCATCTGTCTTTCAATGCCAGGACATAACTATCATCATCTGTCTTTCACTGCTAGGACATAGCATCCATCATCTGTTTGTCACTGTCAGGACATAGATATCATCATCTGTCTTTCACTGTCAGGACATAGCTAACATCATCTGTCTTTCACTGCCAGGACATAGCTATCATCATCTGTCTTTCACAGCCAGGACATAGCTAACATCATCTGTCTTTCACTGCCAGGACATAACTATCATCATCTGTCTTTCACAGCCAGGACATAGCTATCATCATCTGTCTTTCACAGCCAGGACATAGCTAACATCATCTGTCTGTCACTGCCAGGACATAACTACCATCATCTGTCTTTCACTGCCAGAACATAGCTACCATAATCTGTCTTTCACTGCCAGGAATAGTTATCATCATCTGTCTTTCACAGCCAGGACATAGCTACCATCATCTGTCTTTCACAGCCAGGACATAGCTAACATCATCTGTCTGTCACTGCCAGGACATAGCTACCATCATCTGTCTTTCACTGCCAGGACATAGCTACCATCATCTGTCTTTCACAGCCAGGACATAGCTAACATCATCTGTCTCTCACTGCCAGGACATAGCTACCATCATCTGTCTTTCACTGCCAGAACATAGCTACCATCATCTATCTTTTACTGTCATGACATAGCTACCATCATCTGTCTGTCACTGCCAGGACATAGCTAACATCATCTGTCTTTCACTGTCAGGACATAGCTATCATCATCTGTCTTTCACTGCCAGGACATAGCTACCATCATCTGTCTTTCACAGCCAGGACATAGCTAACATCATCTGTCTGCCACTGCCAGGACATAGCTACCATCATCTGTCTTTCACTGCCAGAACATAACTACCATAATTTGTCATTCACTGCCAGGACATAGCTATCATCATCTGTCTTTCACAGCCAGGACATAGCTACCATAATCTGTCTTTCACTGCCAGGACATAGCTATCATCATCTGTCTTTCACAGCCAGGACATAGCTACCATCATCTGTCTTTCACTGCCAGGACATAGCTATCATCATCTGTCTTTCACTGTCATGACATAGCTACCATCATCTGTCTTTCACTGCCAGAACATAGCTACCATCATCTGTCGTTCACTGCCAGGACATAGCTATCATCATCTATCTTTCACTGCCAGGACATAGCTAACATCATGTGTCTTTCACTGCCAGGACATAGCTAACATCATCTGTCTTTCACTGCCAGGACATAACTATCATCATCTGTCTTTCACTGCCAGGACATAGCTATCATCATCTGTCTTTCACTGTCATGACATAGCTAACATCATCTGTCTTTCACTGCCAGGACATAGCTACCATCATCTGTCTTTCACTGCCAGGACATAACTATCATCATCTGTCTTTCACAGCCAGGACATAGCTATCATCATCTGTCTTTCACTGCCAGGACATAGCTATCATCATCTGTCTTTCACTGTCATGACATAGCTAACATCATCTGTCTTTCACTGCCAGGACATAGCTACCATCATCTGTCTTTCACTGCCAGGACATAGCTATCATCATCTGTCTTTCACTGTCATGACATAGCTAACATCATCTGTCTTTCACTGCCAGGACATAGCTACCATCATCTGTCTTTCACTACCAGGACATAACTAT